ACTGTCCGCTACACGACGACGAGACGTTCTGTTGGACAAACGACACATGTCCGCCCGGCTGTGTGTGCTCGGGAGAAGAAATCACCTGCCGCTCTGGATTCGTCGTCGGTGAACTTGTACGTGTGAGGCGACTGGATATTTCTCACACTGCTCAACCAAACGACTCACTGACTGTACAAAACCACTACATAATCGCCCTGTTTGCCCACAACTCAAATATACGACAACTTGGTCTTCTGAGCATGGTAAACCTATATCATTTGAATTTAAGCGACAATGCTTTAAGAAATTTAGCACCGGACGCCTTTGAAAAGACCCCAGGAATTCGTCACCTTTCTCTTGCCAGGAATGAGCTAACCGAGATGGACCTGCAGTCTATAACATCTCTGAAAAACCTTGAAATCCTCGATGTTTCAGGGAACTACCAAGTACGTATCAGATCATTTTCCTTCACCGGCCTAGCCAGGCTGAGAAGCTTACAGCTGGACGACATGGGCCTCACGGTGGTGGAGACTGGCGCCTTTGATGGACTGCTAGAACTGAGGACGCTCACCATGAGAGGGAACTCTATCTCCGTGTTCCAGCAAGGTATGTTGTTGGCTCTGTCCCAGCTTACCTCACTGAGCGGTGACAACTACAAACTGTGTTGTCCGATCATGAAGCCAAAGTCCTTGTCCACAGGAACCTGCCAAGCTCCAAAAGATGAAATTTCTTCCTGTGAGGACATCCTCCGGACGCCCTTTTTCCGGGTTTTTCTGTGGCTCACGGCGTCGCTGACAATCTTGGGCAACAGCTGTGTCCTGGTTTACCGGCTGTGTGTAGAGCGCAAGCCTTCCACACTGGGCTACAACACGTTCGTCATCAACCTCTGCGCCTCCGATCTCCTCATGGGGATTTACTTGGCTATCATCGGCGCTGCGGACCAAGTCTACAAGGGCCGCTACTTGTGGGAGGCAGACTCCTGGCAAAGCTCCAGTTACTGTTCCCTGGCCGGGTTTCTGTGCACGGTGTCCAGTGAAGTGTCCGCCCTCACCATCTGTATGGTCACTCTAGACCGGTACCTGGCCCTGGCCTTCCCGATGGCCAATGTCCACCTGACCCCGAAGAAAGCCCGATGTCTGGTGCTGGTCACGTGGGTTGTCGGTGTCCTGTTTGCTGGAGTTCCTCTGTTACCTCCCTTGTCCCACTGGCGGTTCTACGCTCAGACCGCCGTGTGTGTTCCCCTGCCCATCACTCGCGCCGACTTCCCGGGGAGAGACTACGCCTTCTCTGTCTTCATCCTCGTCAACCTGGCCCTGTTTGTGGCTATCGCCGTTGGGCAAGTTTTCATCTATCGCTCAGTGAAGGCCAACAGTTTCAAGATGACGGTTGCTGTGACGAGTAGGAGGTTGGTTTTGTTATATCCTTGTTGTTGTTGTTGTTGTTGCTGTTGTCGTTGTTGATGTTTTTGTTGTTGTTGTTGTTGTTGTTAGTGTCATAGTTTTTATTTTCATTGAAGCTATGCTTATCTCTGTTTTTGTTTGTTGTTGTCGTTATTGTTCTTGTTGCTTTTGTTTTTGTTGTTGGTGGTGGTGGCGATGATGTTGCTGTTGTTTTCAATGTAGTTGTTACGTTCCTAACGATGATGATGAGGATGGTATATTAACGTAGATTGGATAACGATAATGGCATTCTATGAAAGCAGCAATGATGTTGTTTGTAAGTAGTTAGGTTCCGATGTTAGCGCCGACCCCAGATCCCTTCCCCCATATCCCCACCCACCCCCAGGTTGTCCCGAGGGGCAGGACACATCCCTCATTCCCTCTCCTTGCCTAGACTGACCACATCCCTCATTCCCTCTCCTTGCCTAGACTGACCACATCCCTCATTCCCTCTCCTCACATAGACTGACCACATCCCTCATTCCCTCTCCTCACATAGACTGACCACATCCCTCATTCCCTCTCCTCACATAGACTGACCACAGTTTGAAGCGAAATCGTCATCCCTTCTCTGACATTAAGTTTAATAAAGGTTTGCCGATATATCGCACGAGGCCTGCTTCTAGCTGATGGCTGTGTTAGCGTTATGAATCCTAGCCTATGTTATCATTAGTGCACCAATTAATGATTGCGGCATCTTAA